CGATTATCTACACATTATTACGTTGCGATTGAAAAATGTATTCCCACTCCGCAGATCCGTACCCGCAAATACGCCACTGTTCCGAAACAGTCGGTTATAGGCTAGACGTGTAACCTGCACATTGTTAGAAAAAAAAAAAAAAACCCATCGTGCGCACTCGCAATTCAACGCGGCAGCGGGGATTAATTTAAACCCAATTAAACAAAATTCGATTCGGTAGTAGATAACAATATAGTTCGGTTATAATATTATCATTTACACCGGCAAATGGGGATCACGATATTGTTATAATACTACCAAAACACCGCGTGCGACGCGAAAACTAATAAGTAGGTTGCTCGAGATATTATTATTTTATAGTATCCAAATAATCCCGGCGAGTGTCGGCGTTTGGTTGCCTAACTATAACAGCGAGATTACATTAGTTCTACCGTTTAAACCCCGAATGCTTATTGGTTTATAAACTGTACATTAATACCTAATTCAAGAATGTGCCCGCGAGCAAAACTGTTCGGTTCGTGTTCGGCGGGCCGACGGGCCGACGAAATGTCCGGGTCGTAAACCCTCCCCTCCTCCCAAAAAAAAAAAAACAACGAAAAAATCGGCCGAGGAGAGGACCCCGGCAATGGCAACGAAACGGCTATTTTGAATTTTTTTTTAAAAAAATTATAGTCGAATTTAAAATTTTTTATTTTAAGCCGCCCTCGCGCAGAACGAGAAAAAAAACCACGCATAAACTGCAGCGCAGAGGCATACTTGTTATATTGAGTTAAAAAAAAAATATATCAAAAATACTGAACAAAGGACAAAAGTCATTTTCAAGTGTCGGACCGTCGCGGGACACCCTGTATTTATACAGCGTGTTATGCGCCGATTGCCGGACAGAACATTCGAACCGCGGGTCGAATTTTGTCCGGCAGACTTTAGGTACACGTGTTTCGTGTTAGAATTAATGGCGCGCCATTAACGTTAAGAGTGACTGCAGCTGCTCGTTTTTAATCTAATTTAACGGCGTCGAATCGAAACCGCGCGATCGCGGTGATGCGACGCTAGTAAAATTCTGTAGAAATTATTTTGACCGACACCCGTCGTCTCGATCGGCTTGCACGTTCCCGCCGCCCGTTCTATTGGCGTTCCTCGGGCGATGTTTTTAATCGAAATTGAATTCAGTTCCGGTTTACCGTTTAATGTTCAAGTGTACAATTAACTCGCATCGGTGCCGAAAATATTACGCGCCTAAACCGCAACCTACGGTAACCGCGATCGTTTATTTTGTTTTTTTTTTTTTTCCCCCCGTTATTAAAATCAAAAATCCATTGATGGGTGACGCCCATCTCGTTTTCGAGATGTAACGGAATCGGAACAAACGCAAACAGATCATGTTATTTTAATAATGATACAGCGTATAATTTTTGTGTTTCTTTTCCTTTGCTTTAACCGTGGGATCAATCACTCATACCAATCGCTATTCTCGACATTTCCACATCGCCCTCGAATCCTCTAGTTATAACCTCTAACCAGTTTTTCTGTGATCCGCGCCTTATATCCCAGGTCCGAATTCTATCGGCACTCGCCTAAATCTATACGGTGACGGGCCCCACTCTTTGTGAAGATGGTCGGCGCAGGTGAAAATTCGTGCCGGCCATACCTTTTCGTTATCGAACCGAAATACATATTTATTGAATTTATATTTTATTTTATTTTTTATCATTTAATGCGAGTCACAAAAACATTTCAAGAACAAAATATTTTAATGGAAATGATTATCCATCTTCTTTCGGCGAATGCTTGTGCTGAAGGCAGAGAGCGCATACATAAAATAAAGCTTAGATACCGAATAGTGCGACATTACAATAGAATAAAGACAAACGCAATATACATAAATTAATTTAAAATATGACAAAACAAAACATAGATACACATATTAATACGCCGTATTAATTGATATGGGCAACACAAATATAGATAAAAGAAAAAGATGGACGAATGACAATGAAATTTGTCAGTGAGAAAAAATCAACTGAAAACCGAGTCTGCGTTTCCTTCCAAAGACAATATTGAATGTTTATAAATTTACTGTTCGACGTTATACTGATTACTTATAATATTTTTCTTAACTATTAAAGGTAAATAGTTACGATATTTTGGAGCAACGTAGTCCGTGACCAAATGATTTCTCAATTAAAGTAAGGCACTTAAACGTCACGTGCTACATGTTCTCTATTCTGAGTTTTCTCAATAGGAATTACCAAACATTTTTTATTGTTTACCAAAAATATAGTAGCAATTTTTTCAAATAACGATTTAACAGGAAGAACGTTAAATTAACAATAATTATGCGTAATTATATAATATGAACATTTTGAATTTCGCCTCGATTTTGGCCTATTTAATGTATTTGTTAAAACTGCATCGTTTCCCGAAACGTCCTTAATCCTAACCGACACCCGTCCACGCATGACTTGCACCTAAACATGTTCACTTTTGCTACTTCCGTTTTACGTCAACGTCGCTTTATTCAACGTCCAACGCCTGCAGGCGTCTCGTCGACCGCCTATCAGCTTTCCCCCTTTAGTCGCGCCTAAAATCCCGTCCACACGCCATCCGTAATCCGTCCGCTCTCTCGCGCCGAACTTTAAATTGTGTATACCATTTAATATAAGCATCGCGCTTGAACTATTGGTTTGTAATTTTTTTTTAACATTTTAATTATGTGTCCAACAGGCACGTGTCAGCTGTCGTGGTCCGTGTACATGCTCGGCTCGTCGGTCGCGCTGCTCCTGTTGTGCTTCTACCTGAGCTTCTACTCGTCCCGCGACAGCCCCGGCAGTTCGTTTCGGTCCATCTGATGAGTGCACGCCCAGGCCACAGCCGCCGACCCATCAGCAGCAGCAGCATCGTCGTCCGACGCAGGATATGCCGCTGGCTATTATTTCTGCCACACATGACTTGTCGCCGTACGGCAGCGACGACGACGACACACGATTCAAACCGACAATTATCGCTCATTGTGTACTTTAGAAAAAAAAAAACCGTATCGTTACAGTATTTTCGTTTGCGTAAAATACAATACGAATAATCCGGTCGCACTTATATTATACTATTTTAATGATATACATAATTCGTTGTCGTTTCGCGCAAAGTCCGTGTCGACCATTATCGCTCATTTTTCGTAAACTTTGAAACAATAATAATAATGAAAAAAAAAAAAAGTAGGTAGGTTTTTTCCGCGGACAATTCGGTCGCAATTTAGATTCGTTTCTCCGCTTTTGTGGAATATTTTAGCAACGGTCACACACACACACACACACATGTATATATTATTCATAATTTACTAAGCTTGTATTATATTATCTAGTAGGCATAATTATTATTATCATCAATGCGTTTAAGTGAAGTTTACATACAGATAGATTAGATATTACATAGCCGTAAAACTACTGCCGGTTAAAACGGTAAAAAAAAAAAAAAATATGTTAATTTATTATGTAAAAGTTTTTTTTTTTTTTTATATACATATAAGTATTCTGTATTTGTACAATATTTCGTATGTCGTTACGACGATTTGTGTATAAGTGCAACGTGTATATACTGACAAAACTATTCGTCTGCTTGTGAATAACGCAAACGAACCATGTATTGTAGTGAGAGGAAAAATGGTTTTTCAACAGGAAAAATTACGCCGAAAAATTGTGCCCAACGAAACAGCGTTTTTATGCGTTTTGGACTCGTCGGAAAATAATAGAAAAGATAAGCGTCCGGCCACCCTTTTTACCACTCCTGCGATAAATTCATTCGATTAAACGATTTTTTTTATCGATATAATTTTAAAAATATACTGTCGCGTTATTCGATATTCTTTTATTATACCAGCAGTGAATCAAAAATATTATTTTAGAAAAGAAATATCTTTCGCCTCTAACGAAGTTGCCCCCTTATAGGCTGAAGCGTCTACTTAACCAACTTATATAGTCTTAAATTAAACTCGCCACTGTGAGCGAGTGTCATTGTTAATGCGACAGCGACAGTATACATACTCGGTGTACTATCGTCCCATTTTTTTTTTTTTTCTAATCAGTTAATAATGAAATAGATATTACTGTAGACTTATTAACTAGTGGACCGCGTTTTAGAGTGAATATTATTTAGACGACATTATTAAAAATAAAATGAGATATTCGGGATTAGAAAATTAATTGTTTTTTAGTTTTTTCCGTGAAAAACAGTATTTATAGATAATGCTGCTTTAAATCGTGCATTTATCCGGCCTATAAACGCAGTTCTAATGTTGTTTATGATAATTCACGATGTGCGAAGTACACACAGACTCCGAGGGCTGCTAGGCGTGGTTGGTCCGAACGGATCGAGAGGGACAGACTGATGTAAAGCCTATAGTGTGAGAGAGGGCAAGTTTGCACTCCTGGGGACATTCGATTAAAACACTCCGTTTATTGTCTCACGTGGTTTCGTCCTCGAAATGAAACACTACCCGCCGGAACGCGTTTTCATGCTGCGTGCTCCGTCTAGATCTACAAGTTTACGGCAGAAAGATCGTAAATAATAATCGCGATGATGATTACGTATTCGCGGTGATTAATCAATCATTTTCACGGGAGAAATATAAACGGTTTTTGTTTTCTTCCCGATTACCAACAATTTTCGTTTACCGCCCGATTGTCGAGCAGTACGAACTGTACTGTACGGGGCGCGTAGAGGCACACACTCCGCTAGTTAATAACAAGTCTACGGGTACTACGCGCATTCGTTAAATAACACCAACAACATCTAATTCAAATATTTCATAACACTTAATTCATAATATTGTTTATCATATTGTATATCGCTATGTAGAGGGATATTGTTGTTACGTAGTCGTTTACGCCAAGTTTAAAACATATTTTATTTAAATTTACTACGGTTTTCCGACATTTTATATACATATATATATATATATATAAACATGTATAATAATGATATTATTTAATAATTTTTTTTTTTTGCTTTTCGTTATTGCGTGTACTTTAAATATTATATAAAACATTTTAACAATACAAAGCGTCGCGAAGTATTTAACTTACAACATTGTTTATACTAACACGATGATAATTGATAACCATATAGTATAGAAATAACGGCGTACGTAAATCTAAGCACATTATAATATAATGCAAAAATAATATCGTATTCGATTAATTATTAATTATATCAACCACGATTTATTCGATATCTTGTGCGATTTCTAAATTTAAAGGGTCTCTGGTGGCGGTTCGTTGTGTGAGAGCGTGTGCTACACTTTCCCGGTGACGAACGATAAAACGATAAAACAAACGACAAAAAGCACAAACAAATATAAGGGAGCTCCCATACAATAAACGATATTGGCGCTATCTACAGTCGAACAATTTGAATGCCGGTCAAATCGTCACAAATAATCATAGACACAATTTACATGGACTGCCTGTAGCTGGTGCTCATCATTATTCGTGTTGTTCATTCTCATATTGGTAGTCAATTATCACGGAGGAGAAAAACAAATGGTTGCGTTTTCCACGGGAGTTATCATGGACATAATATTTTATCACTTTTATAACTGTCAAATTTCAATAATATTTATCATGGTTGATCATGTGATTTTTCACCTTACGTCCGAAATACTGACAGTAAGAAATATTACCACGGAAAAACGAAAAACGATTATTTTTCCCCCCCCGCCCGTTGATTTTAGCTACCAGTCCAGGGGTAAATGATTTGAATGACGACCCTGCTGTTAACACATCGAGCGCAGTCCATATGTATTATGTCTATGCAAATAATTTAGGTGATATCAGCTACCGTACGTTGCGACGCGCACATCATTTCAATCAAAATGGCGTCCGTATTTGACCCAATATTATCCGTAATCACAGTTAATAAAGTTTACGGGTTTATATACCCGCGCAGAACAATAATATGATATTCGACTATCCGTTTATTTCACGAATAACCGCTAGGCGATGTGATCGTCGATCCTCTCGTCGTTTCGGGTATTGCTGACATACCAATCTCAGTTACCACGAATATAACGATATTGCCAATATACATAATTGTAGACCCTCCCCGCGTGTGTACGTTTCGGTTCGTCAGAGACGAAAAAAAACCACGAAGACAAGGTCTGACGATAAATTGATGTGTGTATTATATTCGCCCCGGTTTTTACCGTAGTTTTAACGATTGCATACTATTGCACAGTCACAATCGCCGTCCCGGAGTTATGTAGATAAAGACGGGACATTGACATTTTTTTTTTTTTTTTTCTATCAATAATTCGATCTCTAACAGAACCGTAATTTATAGCGAAGTACCGTAGATTGTATAGAACATAGCGGAGAGCTCGGTATAATAGACGCTCCGCGTCGGTTTACCAATACGATTTATACCGAAATTTCCCGTTAACACTTAATAACATCGACTTCGATAAAGTTCGGTTTGTATTGAAAGCATAAAAAAAAAAAAAAAAAACAGAAACTGTTAGGTAAAAGCGACCGAATTATAAAATCACGCAGAGATGACGAATGCCCCGAGTCCCTCCTGATCTCTTATTACAATGATGATATTCTCCGAAAGACGACGCGCCCGCAAAGTCGCGAAATTCAATAATACCGTTTCGCATGAAATCTACTTTGACATTGTTCTGGTTTTCAAACCCGCGAAAGTACACTTGATATTATACAATTAATTCAATAGTATTGTATACAATTATCGCAATATTAATATTGCCTGTTATCCGTTGTATAATAATATTAGCATTACAAATTACACATTACACATTTGAAAAAAAAAAAAAAAAAAATTATATTTATGTATTTATTTTGTTTCTCAACCGTTCGTCTCATACTTATTGTTGTAGGTTATCCATGTACGTGGATGCATGTACTTACTATAATATTTAATTTTCCGCGAGTATTATTATAATGTACGTAGGTACACGTTTACGATATTATTAATATTAATTATTGCGTTTCAACGTTGTAAATATCAATTTTTGGTTTTACATAATATACATATTGTTTTTTTTATCTATTCATAAAACTAAATAATCGAAGAGTTGTTAAATCATAATCCCAAATAATAAGCATAACATTATTATTGTATACCTACCTTTAAGAACTACGATAATAACATGATTATTATTATTGTTTGTAATATTATTATAATTATTATTATTATTATTATTATTATTATTATTAATCGTGTTGAAATATATACAAATACGTGTTAAATAAATGTATAATATTTAATTGTCGCCTTCTATCGACCTATAATATTGTGGTCAGCGTGTAAATCACAAAATTCGATGAACAGGTTTCGCCACATGAGGCCTACGTACAATAAACTGGATTGCCAACTGTCGTATATCACGCGAACGCTTTTGATTGCAGCCGTTTCATTTAAGGCCCGCGGCCTTTTCATAGGCTTTTATGTTGTGATAAATGTTGTGTCTGTCTTCAGCAGCGTTAAATCCAGGTATACTTCAGGAGGGGGGGGGAGCAAGTGCCCTTCTAGAATTTCATTCGGCTCCTCTGACCAACACAATAAATGTCAGCAAAATGTATTTATCAAATGTACAGTACTCGATACTCTTTCCAATTTACATCGAAATGATCAATGAAAAAAAAAGTGAGCCCTCCCCAGAAAAATTCTTTGAATTCAATACTGGTCTTCGAAAACCATCGTTACCGCGGTGACCAAGACCACGATTGTTAATAAGATTACACATACATATACATATACATATACACATACATACCAGTCATCACAATATACGAGCAGATGATTGGGCGGCTCACGAGTCTCATCGTGCCATTAAATGGCAGATTGAAAATTTAAGTCTTGTCACTAAGTTAGCAATATAATTTATTATATGAGAGGGTTTCACTTATGTATGACCGTTTTGGAATCGACGTCTGCTTAGGTGCGGATTCAGAATTATGTAACGGGGGAAGGGGGGGGGGCGAATATTGCACATTACAAAATAAAATACCGTTGTGTTTCCAATGGTTTTCTAGTAGTTCTTTTTTTATCAAATCAGTAATAACTGTTTTTTGATTTTAAAACAAAACCTACGTCTAGAACATCATGAACAAAATTAAATTGTCGAGTCAATTCGTGTGGTCAATACCAGTTCCACACTATTAAAAGCATTTGTGACAGAACTATTGTCAACACCAGTAGATACTAGTACGAACTCATTATTTGATGATGATTGATAGCTTGTACTTAGTTCATCCACAACAGTTTTTTGATTATTTTTGTTCAGGTCACTTTTATTTTTATTTTTAAATAATTTAACATGAAATCCGTACTTCTTTTTAACACGGTAATGTTATTGAAATGTAATGCAAACATATACCTAATTGAAAAATTATTTTTGAATTCGATAAATGGTCGATAAGTCAGTAGATAGTCGGGACTGTACAAATTACGGGAGTATGACAGAATATTTGAAAAACAAACACGACGTTATGTTGTCCATTACTGATACCTACTTGTTATCAAGTTCCTATGCAAACATAGAACAATATTACTATCGTTACGAATCTCCCAAAAGTTTTATTAGAATATGTATTTTATTCGTTCATCCGTTTCGCGACCGCCGTACCGCGTGGTATTGCTATCCCGTCGTCCATCGTTATCGCCGATTCCAAAAATAGCTCAGAATGCATTTACATTTTATTAGTGCGTATTATATTTTAATGATTGTATCAACAATTCAAAATTCGTTTTGGTTATTTTTACTACGAATTTTTTCATTAGTAAAACACAGTCTGTGGGGAGGCGCGACCCCTCTGCCCCCTCCACAACTGAATCCGCGCCTGCGCCCGCCCGTCTACAAATCAAATTTATTATATCCTCATGCGATACCATAAGTGGCGCTTGGTAAAAACTCACAAGACACGCGAGAGTGTAAACATTTTATTTGAATTCAAAAATATATGAGGAATTACATATTAAACAAAACAGGCGGGTTGTCTTCGGAGTCTGGGCAACGAGTTGTTAATATTTTTATCGAATTTAAATGCCTTATTATGCCGTCTGAACATAACCAATTTCGATCTTAAAATGACCAGGACCAATACATTACAAGTGACTATTAGTTCTCGATTGAAAAACGTGTACTGATAAACACGTGAAAACGAAGTCCGCGTACAAGTGAACGAAAATTATATTTATATATAAATAAATTTGTTACGGTTTATGTTATGAAATAGGCTAATGTCGTTATATTTATACTTTTTGTATACAGAAACCGATTTCGCGCTGTTAGTTTCAACACTAGAATGTATGCGCCCGTTATCAAACTTAAAGGTGAGAAAATTATCAGTTTTTGTACGTTGGTTTTGTTCTCGGCGTTTTAATTTTCAAATGAGTAACAAACGTGTGAAATACTACAATTTAAACATCGTCGAATCTGGATTAAAAATTAAAATACCGAGAATAATCCTACGTACAAACACACACGAACAGTGCAAAATTGGTAAAAGTATAATTACTATAACGACGTTAATTGATTTTACAACATTAACCGTAAAATATATACTGTATGTATATCAGTATATATATATATATATATATATATATATATATATAAAATAACACGTACTGACTGATTCATTAGCTATTATTTGACGTAGGCATTCGCCAAGAAAGGATTTTGAGAAATGCAACGGCCTATATGGTTAGGTTGAACACGTAAAATAGGGTTTTTTTTAGACATTTTCGTTACGAATATCTAATTGTTTATTTATTTATTTTTGTTCATTATTCGTGGGCTACCTTGGCGATGCGAATGAAATAGTAAAACCAAAACAATTGGCCCGGGCAACGCCGGACGGGACAGATAGTTGGTAATTTTAATATCAAATTTTGACAAAAATCGTAAATATTACGGCCTTTCAAAACACGTGTAACCGAACTCCGCTCAGAATTGTTTTTCGTTAACATTGATTAATCGTTGCCTACATATATACATTGGATTTCCCTCTACATCCACCTTCCCAACTTCTCACCCATACAACAGTGGCTTCATGCGATGTATGTCAGTTGTTTTTTTTTTTTAACGATTTATTATTATTTATACTATATAAAGTAGTAGAATTGAATGTATTTTAATGCTATTTTAATAATTTTTTCCATTGTCTATGGGTGTAAAATGATGCTCTTGTAGTCTTGTCCACTCAGAAAAATTCTAGTAATTGAAACAGCACTTTCACGCCACGATTTTTAAAATGCTGGTGTAATACTTGTAGTTAAACCTGCTGCCGATTAATTTATGGATTTTAAAAAGGTATACATTAAAAAGAAGTTCAGTTTTTTCTTCGTTTCAAGTCGAAGAACTATAAAACAAAAATTATTATTCAGGTTTGAATATTTAAAAACAAAAAGTAAATAATGTAAAGCGAAATACATTTTTATTAAACTTTCGATGAATTCTTGACGATTTTATATTCTCGATAATTCGAAAGAAGACCCGTTTTATCGACGACATTATTATTATTGGAATCCCATTTTAAATTCGAAGAATTGACAAGATACAAAATCCAAAAAATGTAAAAACAATAAAGATAATATTATATTTTTTGTTCTCTGAATAAATTCTTAAAACCTTCATTGACATGTACAGAGTGATTCATTTTAAGCATATTAAGCCCATTTGTATAGTTAAATAGTGTATATAATATAAAAGTTCTGATTTTTGAAATATTTAAATGTAGTTAAATCAGATATTTTCAAATACTATAAATTACTATTTATCCATTTTTTAGTACAGGTTCTCATTTTAAAAACCAAAGTTTTTCCACACTCTTTCAATGTGAAAAAACTAAGTACAGTAAAACCTCTATAAACGAACCCTCTATTAAACGGAATCCGCCTTATAACGGAAAACGTCAGTAGTCCCAGTGCAAGTAATAGATAAAATTGTCCATTGCTAAGACGGAACCTCTACTAAACGGAAACGGACAATTTTCGTAATCAAATTAGTAAAAATACTCTCTGTTAAACGGAAAATAAAATTATTTAAAGACTAATTACAGGGCTTCCTGAAAAATCATTTGACAGTANTATTACATACCTTCCAATGAGCGCGTAGAAAAGATTATCTAACCTATTCCGTTGTAGAGAGGTTTTACTATATTCGAAAATATCAGCTTTAACTACAATTAAAAATTCCGAAAATCAGAATTTTTACTATTCAAAATTTAACCCTAAAAACGGTGCAATAATAATTATTGAATCACCCTATATAGATATCAAAAAATTATTTTAAAAGATTTACCTATGGTACATCGTGAACTCGGTGCCATGCTTGCACGGCTGCAAAATTACGTTTCGGAGAAGATTCCGGCATTGCTGCAAACCGATACGCGGCCACAACTCGAAATCGAATTACCCGCACTGAAAAGTGCCGGTAACACGAATGAAAATATGAAAACCTGCGAAGTATCTACACTATACCTGTCTAATTGAACGTTAAATTAAATTCGATTTCACACGATTTTAAAACGGATTTTTCAAAATAAATTACATTTCGAGTCGTCGGTTTTGTGCAACCAGTAATAATGTACTACCCACCACATAATACCATCAGTCGTTGGTCGTGATTAGTCATTTGTTTCCGTGTATTGCTGCCTTATCTGTGTTGTACGAATTACAGCATACGACCTTGTATCTATAAAACCCGGTTTATATAAAATTATACTACTTCACATTCGAATTAACTAATAAAACATTATGGAAACGAAATTCGATGAAATTTTAAAGTCTGTTGGGGAGTTGAAAGTAATTAATCGCTTATCTAAGAATGTCGATAAACTTTTTGAAAACGTTTCTATTCTGACGAAAGCCAATCAAGATCTCAACTTAAAATTCGCTAATCTAGAAGTAAAAGTGTTGGCTATGGGGCAAATTATGTCTGAAGAAAAAAATACACCACCTGAACAAAAACTTATTGATGAGCTATTGGATAGACAGTCGAGGTCAAATAATGTAATTCTATTTAATTTAACCGAAGAGGATAACAAGGATGATTCACAGAAAATTAAAAACGTTATTTCCAGTTTAAATGAAAAAATTGAAAAATTTACATTTTTTCGTCTTGGAAAACCAAAATCAGATATTCCAGAAAAGTCACGACCAGTAATGATTCTTCTTTCAAATCAGTCTGATGTATTTACTATCTTACGGTCACAAACAAATATGAAATCGTCAACGAGTTGGTCAAATATCCGTTTTTCGTCAGATAGAATTACAAAGGAACGAGAGGAAATGGCAAACCTTAGCAAAACGTTACAACAACGAAAAGAAAACGGTGAACAGGACGTAATCATTAAATATATTAAAGGTATTCCAAGAACTGTGAAAACTACAAAAAACTGAAATGCACGCCACCCACTAGTTTAAATTTTTATTAGCAAAATGTCCGTAGCTTAAATAATAAACTGTCATGTTTAAAAATTCAAATTCCATGTACAATATACGATATAATTGTATTTACAGAAAATCGGTTAAAAGAAGACGTTATGTCAACTGAATTAGGGTTTTATAATTATAACATTTTTAAACATAATAGATAATGAACAAGATAGAACAAGTGAATCAAGCTCTTTGTCTAGATGTGATGGTGTACATATTGCCATTCATAATAATATTTACTCTAAGCTTATTGAAATCATAATTAATAATATTGAATTATTATTGGTAATAATAAAAATATCTAATCTCACTTTTATCATCGGGTCTGTATAAATGTCTATAAAATATAATGAAATATTATTTAATGAATATTTGAATACTGTCGAAATATTATGTAAAAAATTTAAAAATGTAATTATTTTTTTGTTTAGTGATTTTAATTTACCATTGGTAAATTTTTCGAATGCGATTTCGTACTTCAATTGACTTATTTAATTTTGAATCAAATAAATAATATTAAAAACATTAATAATACTATATATTAAAATACTATATACTATACTTGGACTATACACTAAAAAATTCTACTAATGTTGATTGAATCGGACATAAATACTACGGTTCCCATTGATATATTTGACCCACTAATTTCAGCCATTTTTACCCATTATATTATAAATTATTTATTAATTTTAGAAAACGTTCATAAATGGCACGATGCAAATTATATTTCTATTGTAAAATATTTAGAAGATATTAATTTTAGTGATTGCTTTATTAAAAATAATATAAATTATTGTTTAGAACTATTTTATGATCACATTAATCATATTATTGATAATTTTTTCCCCAAAATGCAGAAGCATGATTTTTAATTTCCTATATGGCTTAGTAAGCAATTACAAATATCTTTTCAAACAAAATAAGTTAGCTCATCATATGTACAAACACTCAAATGATTTAAATAATTATTTTGAATTTTCTAAACTACGTTTTAAATGTAAATACATAAGACATCGAGATTACAATTTATATATAAGACACTTACAAAAATCAGTAAAAACCAATCCTAAATTTTTTATGTTAGTAGTAAAAATAATCATAAATTATCTAAAGTAATGTCTTACTTAAATAAAGAAGTTGATAATGGAAAAGACATTGTAAATCCATTTAAAGATTATTTTTCTAGTACGTGTGTCTCAAAAAAAATAAATATTTATCCTCAAAATGTTATGGAAGAAAATAATATAACCCTCTATATTTCACAAGAATCAGATGGATGTTTTTAACAAATTATGGAATATTCATCTTAAAACAGCAACGAGTCCTGATAAATTAACCCCAATATTTATCATCATTAATGACTCCTATTTTTAAAAAAGGTAAAAAAAATCCAATAAATAATTATAGCCTTAAATCGAAACTCTACATTATTCCTAAATTATTTTCTAAAATGGTAAGTAACATTGTTATACAATTTTGTAATCTATTATTACCTAATAACCAACATGGTTTTAAAAAAAACAGATCAACAGTAAAAACTTAAGCATACTCAAAAATCAATCCTACAATCGTTTAAAACTCATTCGCAAACTGATGTTATTTATACGGACATGGAAAAGCATTTGACAGGATAAATCACAAATTATTAAATATGGAAACTATCTATCTGAACAAATTCACGTTACTTTAGGAGTCCCTCAAGAAGATCATTTATCTTCGATATTAATCCGTCTGTTTATAAACGATATCTCAAAAGTTGTTTCACTTTCACGAATCTTACTGTTTGCCATGATGCGGAAATATTTAGAGAAATTAGAAGAATGGATGATGCTTTTAAACTACAGGTCGATTTAGATAATATTTTTAGATGGTGCCATAATAATGATTTGTATTTAAACTAGAAAAAAGTTCCACTTTTTCATTGAAAGAACGACAATTCATATTAATTATTTTTTAGCAAATATTAATTTATCAAACGTATCAACAGTTAAGGACCTTGGAGTCTGGTTTGATGTAAAACTCTCTTTTAATGATCATATATATTTTATTAGAAACAAAGCCTTTATGACATTAGGTATTTTAAAACGCACATGTATACACTTTAGGGATAAATTTGCATTGATAAATTTGTATAAATTTATTGTCCGTTCTCATTTGGATTATGCACTTATTATCTGATATTCATATTTAAAAACTCACATATGAAGTTTAGAAAAAATTCAAAACAATTTTATTCGTTTCTTATGTCTTCAGTGTTTTGTCTTTAGAACTCTACAATTCAGGCTATAAGGTAAAATCAAACATTTTTAATATCTTGACGCGTGAAAACCGTTTTCGTCAAATAAACTGAAATTTATATAAAAATAAATAAGTATTATGATTGATTCCCCTAAAATACTTCAGAACATAATCGTACATTATAAAATCAATTGAAAAATAAAAGAGCTGATACTGGGGATGGGAGCGGCCACTGTTGTAGGTGAGAAGTTGGGAAGGTATGGTACTTAAGGTTATTTCATTTATATCTGTAAGAAACGATAAACCATTGCTTGACGAAAGACGATTTTCAGCGTAGTTCGGTAATATATAATTTGAAGTGCCGTAATTTGTTTTGCTATTTTTATTTAAATTTGATTTCAAAACGCCTAATCGTCCGATGATTTTGGAAATTTTACCACGTCTAGGTAAGTTAAATATAAGTATTATTACCAAGTTTCAAGTCTCTACGTGTATTTATAACTGAATTACAGCAAAAAAACTCTCTAAAATTAAGTTTCCTTAAAAGCTCAAAAGTGGCTCAAAAGTTTTGGCGATGATACCGTAAAAAAATAAATAAAAAAGGTATCTCGTGATTTTTCGATTAAATTATTTTTTTTCTGGTAAAAAACGTCGTCTGTGTCCTTATAAAATAATGAAATCGTGAAATTGTACGTTTTCCTACGTTTTTTCCCACTTAAGTGCTTTTATATAAAAAAAACGGAGTCGAAAACCAAAAAATAACATGTTTAAAGTACCATCAAGACAACTTGAGCTTTCATAAAAGTTGCTACACGTAAAAATTGAAAGAAGTTTACTAAAAAAAAAACGTGTCCACAGACTAGAAGATAGAAAGAAGAAAAAAATAAATAAACATTTTAGTAAAACCAATAGCTCCCTCGCTACGCTCGGACTCTAAAATTGTCGGGATAAAAACTTATATAAAAAATGTAAACACATACCATATGTCAAATTCGCAGTCGATTATTCTAATATTGGCTGGTAATTACGTAGAGAATATTGATGTTTTCAATACATCTTTAACAAATTTCTCTGTTCAGTTCCTAAGACCTATCAAAATATATTAAAATAATAGTAAACAATTTATATGTTAAAATTAATAAACTATAAATAAGTTATGAAAGTTTCTTTTCTTTTTTATCTAGTTTTACTTTGTAATTTTGTATATCATGAATTTTCTTTCTATTTTACTGTTGTCTGATTTGTGAATTATTGTAATTTATTACACATTTGCTATAGCTATACATTTTCATTGTATAAAACTATAATTGGAATTTTTTTCCCGTTAATAAATATTATTATTATTATAGTTAAATTGTAGCAGTGGAACAATACTAAAATTGATAACATCATATTTTTATTATAAAAACCGTGTTTTTTTTTCTATACACAGTAGATATACATTATTATTATGCAAACACGTTTTTGTGTAAAAAAAAAAAAAACATATAATATGATATAAAACACACGTTGAATAAACCGGGAACAAATTACAATTCGTGATGTTTAGCTGCGTTAAGATACTAAAGCCACATTGAGGACAACATATAAATTCTACATACGCGGTAACAAATTTTGTACAATTTTTGATGATCGAGATTTCAAGTGTTTACGGACTATAAAAATATAAAAACGCTTACTAAAAACCAAAACACTCCTCAATATGAATAGCGGTATACAATGCACAAAGCGCACCACGATCAGATTACGTTAACTTTTGAAACGGCCAATTCTAAGTTTTACTATATCCTACGTCTTATTATTATAGGCAATAGCGAACCACGGGCGGTCGTCGCCGTAATGTTTTCGAACTTTTCGAAGATTCGGATAAATATATATATATTTTTTTTAAGTTCGATAAATTTCATTGGCATTTTTTTTTCGCGAGTTTCTATTACATTTTCCACATCCCTTCCGGATCGAATGTTAAATTATATCCTATCTACACGTTCTGCGGACTGCGGCTATACGCAGGCGGCGGCGGCGACGATAAACCTGAAATAAAAACCACGATAATACTGTTTAAAACGTTCAATATATTTAAGCGGTTAGGTTAGGTACACGTTATAATTATTTAATAAAATCACGTTGAACCGAGGTGCTGATATTTGTGCATTGACTTTTCGTAAATTGTATACTTATATAATGCAATCTAGACTATTTACAGTAAACTTGAATACAAACGTCCAGTTTAAAGGTCAATTGCGGTGGAAGACGAATGATCGGTGTCTATTTTTTTTTTAAATTCAAATTGGGCCACTTTCGAATTTAACCGGTCGTATCGTCACCCGTTGTAATTTTTAACTATCAAGGCTAGCCAATTTAATCAAATAACTCGGTTATAAGTACGTTATATCCGCATCTATTGTTTCAGTCCAACTATCAGGCAACATACAAATGCAAATGAAAAACAATTCTTACGTAGAATAAGTAAAACTAGCTTAGTTTTGATTTTAGAGTAAAAGTATATATTATGAAATTTATAGAGAATAATATTTTTGAGAGAATGTCGTGTATGTTTTTTTGAATTATAAACGAATAAAAAAGTAACAGTTATTTTAAAAAAAAAAAAAAAATAAAGCTTTTATATCTTTTATATCGAGCTGTATATTTTGAATAACATAAAAACCCTAAGACATTCCCTCCAAAGTATTGTTCTCTATAAATTGTATACTATGTACTTTTACTTTGAAATCAAAGTTTCATTCAATCAAGTTTTCAAATCAAACTCGTGTTTTTGCGACAAAATCAAAACATTTTTACAACAATTATGTTTTTTTCCAACAAACTGTTCGTGTTTTTGAAAACAAAATCATGTCCCGAACGGTGTCGGTAAACATCAAAAGGTTTGTGTTTTGTTTTTGTTTCGGCGAACATTGTCGAACGTGTGTGGACGGTTTTTTAAAAATAAACAGATAAGATAGTGTTTCGGGATTTAATGAGTAGTGCGAATAGTGTGATAGTAGTGAGTGTGCAGTTTAGAAGTGCAGCCCTGTAATTTGCAAGTGTACATTTTATAATTTATAAATTTTCGTATGAACACGAAAAAAAAAATGAAGAACATGAAAAATACTTGTAAGCTTATAGATCTTGACAGGGAATCACCTATATTGTGGAATGCAACGGACGCAAACTATAAAAATAAATTCAAGAAAACTGATATATTAAAAGAAATTGGTGTCCAATTGAATACAGACTGTATGGAAATCGATCGTAAATTTGTTATAGTTTTGTTTTAATTTTGTTAACTCAGTATAAACAGTATGTTTTGTTTTAATTTTGTTTAATTTTCAGTCAACTCAGTGTGGACAGTATGTTTTGTTTTTATTTGGTCATTTCAAAGTTGAGTTTTTATTTTTTTTTTGTTTTGTTCTTAAGTTGTCTCAGTGTGGACCCAGAATTATATGCATTATCTGTATAGTTAATCTATATTTTGTTTTGATTTTTAATTATGAAATACACGGATAAAATATTTAGCTTTTGTATAAAAGAGCTTTTATCGGGTATATTCGGAGGCGTTAAAAACCTCCTAGAACCCCCCCCCCCCTCCCACTATTTGCGCCTATGGTATTATTACTCAGAACTTTTATGGAGACACTTATAGGAATTGCATAAAAAATATAAACGAAGGTAACCTCTAAAATACAAACCGCTTTAAAAATCATATTACCGACGTTTTTACACCCCGTATAGTATGCGCACATCGAGTGCAAACGTGTCGTCGTCAAATAAAACAAAACGATTTGTGTGTACAGTGTGCCGATTTCGTTTAACCGTTTTATACATTTCGTAGAGTGTTTGGTAATCAATTAACGGTAAATATAACCGTGATGGCATAATATTATGTTACAATAATATTTGCGTTTAAAAAAAAAATTACATCGCCGGTGAAATATGACGCGCGATGGCGTAAAACATTTAGTTTTAATTAAGTATATTATTAAACCATATAATACAGTAGGTAGGTCACTTTTGATACAACGAACACTGTTCGAAAACCAAATGTATAATATAATATAACAAAATGTCTAATGAAAATGAAATGTATACATTTTCTCTAAAATCTTTATAGCCTTATCCGCAATATCTTCGAAAAGGCTGGGGAAGTCGACGAGTATGTAAAACTCTATTAAGTGAAAAGTATTGCAGATTGCAGGTGGACCGGAATTAGGGTTATGGGAACCCTAGCGCCCGTAATTGGTAGAAGCCCGGCTGAAGTCTGGTGGTCGATTGGCTTTTCGAAATGCTTCCTTAAAAATTATTAAATACAAGTCAATTAATTTTTAATTTTATTCTTTTAAAATAATTGGATGATGATTTTTATCTAAAATATATTTAAAAAATACTTACTCAAAATCAAATATGGTTTGTTTAAACAACAATATATCTGTTAGTTAAAAATTGAAAGCATTGAAAATTGAAACAAATGTATTCGTTTTATTAGTTAACTGAGTTAAGTTAAAAATGTATTTGAAAATCTAATCAACTATAACTAACTTAAGTATAGCGCCTGTCCTCAAGAACGGCCGGAGGAAGAAGACAGATGATTCAACTGCACCACCCGATAGCATATTTTCTAATAGGTTAAGACCTTTTAGATAAATCATAAAATACAAATACCGCTTTTTTGTGAATTTATTTCCACAATAATGGGTAACATATTATTACATAGTGAATATCAGTTCTAAGAAACACTGTCGTACTGTATATATCCCTAATCTACAGTGTGGTCATTATACCGACAAGTTTGGATTGAGTTCTAGGCGGTTGACATTGATTTTCGATGGTTAATATTGATGCATACAAACTACTCTGTTAGAACAAACAAATTTATTTACATTTCGGATATATCTTATTTGTATTATTACACCGTTTGCCGACGTGTAAAAAAAACATATAAATATAGTGTGAGGGTGTGTGTGTGGTGAAGCTTAAATTGAAACCGATAGTATTTTGCGCATAGTGAGTTGTATCTCATCTGTCGGTGTCCCCCGTCTGTTCTGCTGTTCAAATGTATTTATATCATGTTAGGCAATAGTACAATGGAATACATAATATTGTACCATTGCCTTACACGTTAAAAAACAAATATAATAAATAAATACATTTAAGCACAGGCTGTGTGTAAAGGCTAAAGCGAATAGATTGTGAATGCGATATTGTGTTGAAACCCAAATAAAATGTAAACTAATTTTTCGTGCTACGATTCAAAAGTAACCCGTTATTTATTAAATTAAATAAATCAAACGTCGACACCAACTTAAATGTTTTAACTCGTTATTGTGCACAGCGTTAATTTCCTATAATAGGTACATTTGTTTATTGTAATAGGTTTTCTTTGTCGATACAATTTACGAATAAACGGCCGTTATAATAATTTTCATACAATTTTGATTGTAATTTATTGTCCACCGAATCGGATCGAATCGAATGGGCTGTGGAAAATTAGTTTAAACGAAAATATAATTGTATAATTATTCTCAACGATTTATTTTACACCAATCGTACAATAATATTATAAATATATTATAATAATATTATATACTTATACATTCCGTTAGTTTTAATCGCATTAATTTACAAAAAAAAAAAAAAAACACGTACCAATATTCTTTTTTTGTAAACTAACGTCCTAAATGTGTTTTAGAAAAATATGTGAATCTACGAATAATAATAATAATACTATAACGTAATAATACCTATGTACAATCGTTTTTTATTTTTTTTTTTTTTTTTTTAATTTTTTATAATATTTGTACCGAAAAAAACAGGTTCTTCCTATCCTGGCAGCAGCTATTCCATTCGAGTTATAATGGATTATAACGTCTTAAGTAAAATTAAATTAAAAATTGCACGAATATATCCTTCCGAGAACCTTACCTATACATATATTATAATTATACTATAATAACCGAAAAACGGTAATAAGTACGATGAGTATCTATAAAAACGTAATAATATAAGTTCCGAAATAAACATTTTTTGTATGCATATATATATATATATATATAATTGTTGACATCAAACACGATATGTAAATATAATATATAATCATTATTGTTGTATATCGGGTGCGCGAATCGATAAAATTATATTGTATTTATACTTATACATAGGTAGGTAGGTAGGTGGGTGTATGTTTTAAAAAATACGTTAAACAATAATATCGAAGTGTTCTAGTGGTGTGCGAAAAAAAAAAAAAAAATTGTTTAAATTTTACATTGTGTTTTCGTCGAACTATATTATATAATATATAGGTATAGTAGTGATAAAGAAACGATGATCGATTTCTTCCCTCGGGGAGGTGGCCGATGGGTGCGGGTGCGTCTGCGGGTCGTTTAACCGGCCATGAATCCGCCGTCGACGACCAGGGCTGTTCCGTTTACCATGGTGGAGTAGTCGCTGAGCATGAAAATCACGGCGTTCGCAATGTCGTCGGTCACTGAAAACGACAAAACGGAAATATTACAATAATATTAAATTCTATATAAACCAAGTTGTTTAAGGCGGTCGAAAGCGATTCGATTTCCGCGCGCGTTTAGACCGACGAACCGGAATGCAAACATTAATTGATTCTGGGGATTGTTTTTTTTTTTTTCTCAAACATCGTACACGCAATATACAATTATCGAATAAATATTATCGCGTGTAAGATCCACAAGAAACGATTCTGTACAATATAGTAGTTAAATAAAAACGTACTCGAAATCTTTGTCGCCAGCCCCAAGAGTGGAGCCGAGTTTGCGAATCTATAACTTTAAACGTTGTGTTAAGGATTAATAAAATTTAATGTAAAATACGTGAATCTTACATACGTGCGTTGGGAAATTGCTTAAGATTGTTGACGAAATCAAAACTAAGTACAAAATATATTTTTGTACCAGTTAATAAACGATTTAAAAAAAAAAAATTCGAAATTCGTTATCTTACTCGCGTGCGAGTTGACTTTTGACTGGAGTAAGTCGACATGGGAAATTTCCTACGTAAATTTTCATTATTTATATAGTATAACGAGTTAATTTAAGTATAGATATAATTAGTGGTATGTGGTAAAAAGAACGAATTTACCGTTTAATGCGATTTCTGTTAAACTTTGCATAGTAATATTGTGTGTTTATTGATATTTGTTCTTCGATTAATCGAATCGATCGATTATTTCAAAAATGAAAAAAACCGGGCGGAAAAATCTTTAAATTCGAAATTTCGCGTGTTCGGCTCAGCTAACATTACATTCGTTCGGCGATGTAAACTGAGCCCAAGGTACAGATAAACACGAAATCATATAGTTTGTAAACAGCGTCAGAATAAAATTTAAAAATTTACAACCTCTATATTTATACAAAATAAAATTCTGCGACACGAATTTTCAGGTCATTAACTGATTATTAAATCGATAGATACTAGCATACCGATGTCATTATGCAATGATCTAATTATAACCCAATAGGTCCTCAATCATATTAATTGATAACGAGTCGGTATTTTTACCGAACGTTTAGTTTTTATTGACACATATGTACATAGATAAAATACTTTAATATTTTTGTGAGTATTGAATGAGTTCGGACGGAAAATTAACCAAAGTCGTATCGAATATGAAATCGGTATTAAAAAACAGAGCGCATTTTACATTATATCTTTTTAACACGGATATAAACTCGGGCGCAGTTAACAAAAAAAATGGTCGTTCACGGCGGCAGTTTACGTATGCCCCAATCGTTTGCTCGGCATTTTCGATGAACCGCAATTTTTGTGTATTCGTCGTACTCACCTGCGAATCTGCCCAACGGGATTCGTCTCAATATCGGACCCGATTTTTCGGGGTCGGACCACGCGATTTTGCCCATACGCGTCAAAACAACCGTCGGATTCACGTTGTTAGTCCGAATTCCATGCTTGCCCAACTCGATAGCCATGGTCCGGGTGATTTGATTTACGGCTCCTTTGGACGCACAATACGTTGTGTGATCGGGAATTGCTCTCTGTTAGAATAAAACGTTGATAAATACACATACATCACGCATACATTTCAATCGCAATTTTTATTTCTATAGTTTTAATTAAATATAGTTCGTATAAACTAAATTACCATGTGTAATCCTGCATTCTCACTTTTTACCTACAACATGCAATGGGCCAACTCGTAATGACAACTTGTGTGCGAATTTATTTTATGACTGTAAACTACTTTTCTACCAAAAATTCTCATCAAAATCAAAAACTTTATAGGAATTGTTTATTTAGTTGGTATATTAAGAAACTCGTTTTTTTTTTTTTTTTTTTTTGAATTTCCTGTGTTTTTTATCTAATAATTTTTGATAAACGCGAAAAACATATAATGGTTGTTGATTTATGGGTTACCTTAGCAACAAGATAAGAAATCCGACTAACTATACTCCGCTCAGAATCGATTTTCGTTAGCGATGGTTTAGTATTGAAATAAAATTACCTTATACATCGGAGCCCATTCTAAAAGCATTAGCAGTATCAGTCTAGTCTGCATATTTTCTCTTTTGTATTAGTGAATTTTCTAATTAGTAAAGTGGAACTGTGTAAGCAATTTTTCAGTAGAGTAAATTACGTAAGGATATTTCTTAACGGTTTGTCCGTTATTGAAGAATTATTATTTTGAATAGTTTTTTTTAAATTTCTAAAGATTTTAACGATTTCATTATACTCTTTCACAAAATTATAACGTACGTATTATACAAATATTCTAACAGTGTATTACGAATACTCTTGTTCAAAGTGTCTACGAATTATATCTTAATAATACATGACCATGAAAACGTTATAGAATTCATTTCGAATTTGGTTTCGGGTAAGTAGATTAAGTGACGAATGTAAGCGACACACGAAACAGTTATCATATTACTGTTATGTCTACGGTTTAATTGATATGTCATTGAAAAAATATGCCTATGTAAATAATATGTAACGAGTCAAACGATTTATGACAAACCCGAAGTATTTACACGCGCCTTTTTTTATTATTATTACTGTTAATTTTTTGTTTTTTTTATTTTTTATGTAGGAATAGATTTTTTTTTAACACTTACCGTTGATATTGTCGAAGAAATGTTCACAATAGATCCTTTGATACCGGCATCGATCATGTTTTTCGCTACGGCTTGACTAATTCTGACTATGGCTCGGGCGTTAACGTTCAAAGTCCTGCGCGTGAAAAAAAAAATAGAATAACATTTGATTTTATTCCAAGTGTTACAATTGTTGGATATTTCGAGCGTTATTTGGTATGAATTATCATCGAAATGGTTCTGGAACGAACGCTTTGTTTCTGATTTAATCAATAAGGGATGTCGCAGTTTAGATCAACGATATACAAATAAACAGTAAACCTATTGAACATTTTTTTGGTGTTTCAGACAGTTATGTTTTGAAATGTCACGATTTTTACGATTTTCTTTTTTCCTACTATTTTTCACAGTTTTTCCCAATTGCTAAGAAAACTTCGGAAAAACTTCTATCAATGAGAAAAAATGTGTCTTTCAGAAAAAAATTTACACTAGAAATTCGATAGGTTTCTAATAAAAAAGTTGTTTATAAATAGTCAAAAAAAAAATTAAAAGCACATATCATACCAACGCTCAGAATCTAAAAAAAAAAAACCGTCTCTTACTTATCCCAACCGAATTCGGTGACGTCAAAAAACGGTTCGATGACAGCCACGCCGGCGTTGTTTACTAAACCGTGCACTGGACCGATGTCTATCATTTTTTTATACGTATCCTCCCAATCGGATATGTCGCAGAATATTTGCTTGGTGTTCGGTAATGCTTTGGCCGCGTTATCTTCCTTCTCCACCACTGCGTAGACAAACGCGCCCAAATCCAATAATCTAGACGTTATTTTTTCTCCCATACCTAAAAAAAAACACAAATGAAAACCAATATCGATACACTCAAATCCATCGAAATAAACGATCGAAAAATGTCTCTCGTTGGCTTTAGTTTTTCAAAAGCTGTTCAAATATATCTTCGTTACGAAGAAACTTGAAAGAAAGTCTGGAATTTAGCATCATAGATTTCAGTACAAGTAATTTTAATTTTGAAAATTGTTAATTCTAATCTAAATAGAAGCGTTCTAAATGGCTGAAGTCATAAAACTATATGACTTTTGTCTCTTCACCAATCAAAAAGTACAATCAAGTGTTTGTAAGATATTTTAATGTTCAGTAAACCAAATGTTAGAATATATTTATGCCATTTTGATCAAAAAATAAAGGAAAGAAACTTTAAAAGACACAATAGTAAAAAATGGCAAAAATTAACATAAGTACTTCTTCCACGAGACAGAAGATATATTATCAGTTCATTTTTGAAATATTTCGAACATTATTTTCTTATACTAACCGGCACACGATCCCGTGACGATGAATTTTTTCCCTTGAAAGTAATCTTCCATTCTTTGAAGCGGCGGGGTTGACATGTTCCTAGATAGGACGTCGACAGCCATTTGACTAGCTATTTTGTGAGGTATTTTGCGTAAGGAACGGATCATCATTTTGAATGATTTATGTATATTTTATATTGTTGAAGTTACTGTTTAAGTTTTATACTGATTTGGTATTTGAGATCGGTCGACTGCGAAAACTGTAACGATATACAAAAAAACCGCAATAAATTAGTAAATTATTATAAAAGGCATATGGATTCATTAGTTGATAGTTTTTTTGTTCGTAAATGTTTGTATAAGTTAATACGATCATTTTCTTTACGATTGTTCACACTTAGAACATTATTATACATGGGATTGTTGGAAATGGGTTTCGACCGACAATCCGCGGAATCCATTTGACACATAATTTCCAATGCCCGATTAAAAGTATCGTATGGATTTTACGACAAATTGTCTATAGCTTAGATTTTTCGATTTGAAATTATGTGTATCCAGAATAAATATGAATGAATTTGGATTATTTTCAAAAATAATTATTTCCTAATTTCGGAGACTTCAAAATTTAAAATCAGTCGTTGGGTGTATGTGTCGGATTTCTCAACAAGTATTGGTCTCAAACGTATGGAAAATCGGATACGCCTCTTAATATTAATGTCAAGAAGGCTAATACTTGTTGAAGGCTGCATGCGAACATGCAAATGGACATCTAGTAGACGACTGCAGGCGGTAAATTAATTTCTAGTATTCTGACGAATCGAATGTAATGTGGACATGTGTGGTTTTTCTTCTTTTTAAGAACGTGGATTTCAATTTAACATACTACCTTGAGCGTGGCTGCAGTATTATAATAACGTATTATAGATACTTACAGAGAAAATATCCCGTCAAATCTCCATAAAATACAAACGTAAAAAACGTAGCCTCTTTAATTAAAATTTTTTTTTTTAATCGAGACGTTCTATACGAGAATATAATGTTATACTCTATCATAGGTATACAAGCATAAAGAATGTATATCCTGTAACCGAGCGGTTCTTGACATTAAACCCGCATCAATTATAGTAGATGATATAAAACAAGATAGTTTAAATAAGTACATAAAATATACAGAGCGATTTTTTTATTACGAACCGACAATTTTCTCGGTGGACCTTAAGTGAAATTGATTTCTTACATATTACACGATATTAAAGTCTAAATTTTAGACCAAAGGAATAGGAAATGTTTACGAATTTATTATCTGAAAGTAGCTATGAAATGTAATACCATAGTTGTCTACTGTTCGGATCTAAACTTTAAACTCCTGTAATATTCGTAAATGGTATGTACGATATTATAATGTTATTCATGTCGACATTTTTAGAAAAATATTCTCTTTTCGAATATATGGTGTTCAAAAAAGGAGGATCCTAATTAAAATCAAAAGTATACATTTAAGATAATATATAGAGTAAGGATTAAAAGTTGAACATAGTTACAATAAAACAACGATTGATAAAAACAGAACACAATTTCACTTAAAATCCTCCGAGAAAAATACCGCTTCGTGTAAAAATTATTATCCTGCGTGTTCATATACAAATGGTATTAAACCAAATTATATTTTAATGGTAAATTTTAATAATTTATAATCGATTCAATAATTAATGGGCTATACTTAAATATCATTATTATCAATATCAGTAACTAATTATATTAGTTGCAATGTTTTAATTCAAAAAATTGAAAGGTTGGATTAAATTTTGATTTTCAGCTACCGACTACAAGTAATTTGTTTTTTTTTTTTTTTTATATATATATATACTTCACGCGTTTATTATGTCAATTTGATAATCTTGCGAGATATTTGAGTAATCACGTTTAAATACTACCTAAAATGATTTTAATTACTTTTAATTTAAATACACTCAAATCAATCTACCCGTATACAATTTCTTTTTAAATCTTTATATACATAATTACATTTCACATGTTGTAAAATATAAATTGATTGTGTTAGCTTTTGACACAGTGGCAGAGGAAGAGAGGTTAGGGGGTCATATAATCTCTCTTGATCGGAATTTTAACACAATAACAGCTATGAGTATCTATTTAGTAAGTTAATCGTCGATTAATAAATCGAATATTTCAACCAAGTTACTAGGAAAAACTGAATTTATTGATTAAAAATTGATCTTTTTTGCATCCGGTATTTAAAAACATTGTCAAATCGGATAAAGAAAACGATTCCATGATTGATTCATGAACAATATTTACTACATCTCCTCGCATTGGAAACTCTTAGGCACGCCACTGCCTTTTGTTAATGAAAATACTTATTAAATACAAATTTTGGGTCACGGTATTACAATAAAAGCTTAAAATACTGTCGTCAATGGAGCCTATAAGTGATAAGTCGGTTATTCAGTGTATTTCGTAATGTTTTACGGACAAATGAGACGTGTGAATGAGCGATAACGCGAAAATATTGATATATTTATTGTTATTCTGTTACAGTTTTGAACGAAATTATTTGCTCGTGTATGTGAATACATTCTATAGTGGTATTTGTATATTAATTTATTTGGAAAGTAGTTCGAGCACTTCTAGCAAGACTGGTTCGGGATGACTTATTGTGCACTGCGTATTAAAAACGAAAAAAAAAACGTACAAATAATATTATGTCGATCGAATGTACTCGAATGTTCTATTAGTATTGTATTGTTTAAAAACGTAAATCGATAAAATATCGTAAATATTTTCTTTTGTTGACATTATCAGATGGTAATGTTATGTTTACGTGGTATTGTTATCATATAATAGGCAATAGGCACGGTTAAAGATTAATTGATCGATATTACTCGGGTTTAATTCGTAGACTCATCTATACGGTAAGTTCTCATAAAGAAAGGTCAACGGCGCGCAACATCAAAATCGTTTACGACACCAATATGCGTATTTCAAGAGATAAAAAATCAACTACGATAACCGCATTAATACGAAAGTTTAACTTAATTAATTTAAATTAATAATTCTATTTATATACGTATACTATGTATATTATGTATATTAATAGATGCGAATCGAAAATAATAGAATATTCGAGTGTAACGATAATGCTGTAAGAATATGATGACTGAGAAAAATTTACGCGTTTACAGCGTAATATCATCAACTAAAAGTTCTTTAATAACCGTTTACTTCTAGAATATTCTATAAATTATTATAAAACACATTATACGAGTGCAATTAGTGTTGATATAAATTAATTATTGTAAAAAAGGTCACGAAATATAATATTACACCGTTGATTAAAATGTATTTTCGTACGTAATACGTGTTATATTATAATTATGCAATAATTCGACCGCACTTAATGATATCCATAATTATTGTATATTCAGAATATTGATTAACCCGCGTGTTATCGTCGAAAGAGATCACAAAAAACGTGATATGTGTGTTATACCTATGCGTTTTACGATAATATCGAGCCTACGCACACGGCAATCTGGTTTGTAGTCGCGTGAGAGAAATTATTTCTTTTTTTTTTTTTCCAGGGTAAAAACCGGATTTTATAACGAGACAACGAAACCCCGACGACAAAAACCGAATGTTGTGTGACTGCCTAATATAATACGAACGCTGCGGTGTATAATGCGGTATTGAATAATTTTTTTTTTTTAAAAATCGAATTCGAGAAAATTCTTTACGGGCAAGTGACAAAAACCACAAAACGATACGCCCGTCTGCATTATAAACGATAAAAATACGGGAATTCACATTTCGGAAATGCAAGTGTAGTTTGAACCCCCGATATGGAATTTCGAAAGATTTTTGATAAATTATTTGACTTTAGATTCGGAGCGTATTTTTTTTTTTTTATCTTCAAAAAACTTTTCTACCCGAAATTTTGCTTAGATTTTCAAGAAATTTTTTGAAGAAAAAAAGAAACCTTTTCTGAAAGGAAATTTTATCAGGACGGTACTTTAATCGTAATCATAATAATTGAGGAAAACGGGAAAATGTACATGTATAAAAAAAATTTCGCTCCGAATCATTTTTCGTTAGCAATGAGTTTATCGTCGTCTACAGATATAAATTAAATTCCCCTACCTTACCAAATTCTCGCTTACAACAGTGGCCTACTCATTGTTCGACGTTTGTTCGTCTTTATTTCTCTATAGTTTATTATTTCGATGAAACTTTGTCGATTTATGTTAAAATACAGTTGATAATTAAGACGCAAAAAACGTAAAAATGCGAATAATTTTAAAAATATATACAATTTATAAACATTTTTTTGATAACTTAATTTTAAATGACAGTATTAATAAATTTCGATTGATGTTAAAATTTCCGAATCGTTAAAATACGGTTGAAGGACACAAAAAAAGAAAGGTCCATTTTTTTTTTAAATTATTGAGTAGAATAAAACTTCTCTTATTTATTAATTGCATGGTCTACGATATTTTTTTGCCAGAGCACTTGGATTTTTCTTTTGTAATTTTGTATTCGATTGAATATTTTTGTCAACGAACGGATCTCAACATTCAATTATAGTCCGAGGTCTACCATCGAATTATGTATAATAGGTAACAAAATCTCGAAATTGAAGAATAAATGTACAATTTAAAAATAAGCAAATTTTCGAATTTTCTACTGTAACTATCAACGTATTAGTTTAAATGTACAAAACTACACATGAAAAGTTTCATAATTTTTTTTGTTTCATAAATCGCGTCTGTTCCCATTGTTTTTTTTTACTAAATTCGAAGTAGGTTAATTTTTATCAATTAGGTGTCTATAGTTTACTACGAAAAACTTATAAAATCTCTACGAAAAGAAAAAATTGTAGACGAACATTATACCAGTGAATTTCATAAATTGTATACTATGTTCATTATAAAGTATTGTCGGTATTTTAACTTCAAACTATATAAAATTACAGATTTCGTAAAAAAAGAAAGTGAAAATCATTGGTTGTTATTCAAAATTATATAAATTTAGAAAATCGTACACAAGCCAACATTAAATTGAATTAACTTCAAATTTGATTAAAAAAAAAATTACAAAAATCGTGAATACAAACAATTTACAAACGAAACGATCAACTTCAGACTCTAATGATACGTCTTTGTGTAATAACATATTTTTAACATTTACGATTAGCAAGCTAGAAAATAATAGTTTTAATTTTTACATTAAGGCGCTCAAAACACGCTTTATAGACGAACTCTCGTGACTTGTAAAACGATTCGATAGTTTTTTTTTTCTGTGTGAGAGTGAAAAACTTTCTACAAGACCCTGTATAAACTATGATTTTTTAAAAAATTATTTTATCAAAAACCGGTAAAAATTGAGTTGTAAAAATAAACGGTAAACATTAGTCGAAAACTAATTTTTAGCGTATCCAGAAGTATGATTTTCAAAATCCAAATCCAATGCGCCTTGTAAAAATTATTCCTCTTCCTAACGAACAAAACATAGAAAATAACGAGATCGTTCATTGCATGCAAATTTTTCCTGATTTTCGAGCAAAAAAAAAAAAACAGGTCGCGCGCACGTCCCTTAACTCCCTTAATTTTAGTTTTTTGAGAAAAAAGCGCCTGCGATAAAATCAAAAGAGGATAATATTTCAAAACGCGAGACGCCGTGTTTTTTCAACAATTATTCCGAATATACAGCCCGGCACGTCGTTTTAAAACAACACGGCCGTTTCGATATTTTCGAACACTATGATATAATTTTTGTAAAAAATTTTTTCAAACGAGGCATCTTGCTTTTTCGATCTCTTATAATTTTACGACCGTCGTTTTTTTGTTACTATAAAACCGAAATCGAGCGAATTCTATTCGGTCTCTGACGTATAATGATGGTTTTGCCACACGTGTGTAGTGTGCCGGCAAGACAGCACACGCGGATATGACACGTACTTAAAACGATAAAAAAAAAAAAAAAACTTCCATTGAATCGTTCGTAATTTCGTTCGAATAATATTTTTCGAAAAACATTTCGAGTGCGTATTGTATAAAATATATTCTACACTATTCAAATAAAACAACACATTTCTACACGCAAATAATGTATTACAGTATCAATGGCCCCCGGTGAATGGACAAGTTTTATTTCTGACGGTTATATTATCGATTTTAGAGTTTTACGCGCTGTGGCCCGCGCATGCGCCGCACGTTTAGGTACTGTACAATATTTTTGAACTAAAACGCCGTGTCCCGTGTTCCCAAATAACGCGAAAACACCCCGAAATTTTGGTTAGAAGTTTTTTTTTTTTTTTTTTTTTTACTATTCGAAGTCCGCATGTGGGAGACGAACGAAAATCGATCTTTCGAACCGTGTCCGACCCCGTAAACCGAAATTTCACTTATACGTTCTACCACAACGTACAATGAATTGTATTCTTGTTATTATAGTCCAGGTGGCAGAGGGGGGGGGAGGTACGAAAAAAAATGTATAGAAAATCTCCAAGCACCTATATTGTACGCCGTGCAGCTGAACGATAATAGAAAAAAAAAAATAAAATAAAATAAAATAATATAAAGTTTTGAAAACTTACCGCACGATACGACCGCGACGACGACGAGGATATACGGAAATGTATAGTATTCCTATAGGCGTGTGTACGTATATATATATTAAATATACGTGTATACGTAGTCAGAGGAGGTACGTACGTGCTGAGAGCAACGCTACTCGTGACTTACTGAAACCGACCGAACGAATCTCGAAGAGCACGCACACGCGTACGCCGCCAGAGCGGCCGCGGCGGCGGCGGCGGCGGCGGCGGCGGCGGTAAGTTGGTTTTTTTTAATTTTTTTTTTTTTTCGTAAATTGTAGCAGGGCCAAGTATACTCGATGACGTCACGTGGCGTGTGGGGGAACGATATTCACGTCGGCGGCGTTTCATTAAAATGGACCCGTATATTAGTGCGCCTCAAAACGTATATACAATACAACGCGGCGGTATACAATAAATTACATACGTACGTGCATTGTCGAATAAACCGTAATATTATATGTACACTATATAATAATATGCGATCCGACGTGATGTGCGTACGACACGATAATATACGAATACCGAAAAAATAAAAGAAAATTACGAACGTAGGTAATTTACCGGAATTTTTTTTTTTCTTCGTTTTTTTTCGCGTTGGTTTTTGTCCGTTCGGACATCCGACTGTAGCGAATGAACGTTAATACAATACTCGTATAATTGTTGCGGCTATATATGCATGGTATTATAATACATTATATTGTAGTTGGGCATAATGTATAGTTGCTCGTAGTGAATTTTAAACGGATTTATTACACGCGCGTTCGTTTACGATTCGCGAGAAAAATACAGTAATTATTTACTATACAATAACCGAAAATATACGGAAAACAATTTTTTTTTTTTTAATACCTACTTATACGACGTACGCGTATAGAAAAAGCGGACCAAATTATGTTCAAAGAACGCGCGCGTTTTGCTGAAATACTAAAATAAAATTAATGTATATACCTATGGTCGCGGTCTATATTTAAAATGACCAACGTTTACGGGCACATCGTACCGTGGGTGGGTCAATTTCGTGTAGGTGGGAAATATTGAGAATGCGGGAAATATCGGTGTAATATAATTACAAATACGTGAATCCGGGTACATTATATACCGAACACACCAATGCGAGTGATTTCGATCGAAAAACTATTCTGAACGGAGTTCGACAAACCGCAGCATATACGATTATTATAATGTATAACCTATAGTTTTTGCAATTATTGTAGCCTGCAAAGCGATCAGGGACCCTGCATTCGCGGCTTGCTATGCGGAATCTATGGAAAGTGTTTATTTTTCGAATACATAAGATCGCCGCAAGATAAAAACTGCATTTTTTAATATATAAAGAAACAAAGTGAAGAATTGTTCCCCGTTTTTTTTTCGGTTCAAACAGCATGTATACATTATTATGTCCTAACGCAATGTTAAAATGATCATTAAAAATATCTTAAATCACTCTACTGTATACTTTTTGTTTTACAAAAAAGCATACGTCATGTAATTATAATATTATATAGCCATTTCGAATGACACATTCATTAGGTATGGGCCGATACCACTCTGAAATCTTAAACCATTAGTTAATATTGAAATTAGCCGATATATCGGTTGAAAACCCGATTATTTAAAAATGTTTTTTTCATACTCCAGAGACATTATAGACATTTTTCACCGAAAATATCGTGTCAAATATCGGTTTTGATAAAATAAAACCGATGCCGATAGCGAGTATCGATTTATGTATCGGCTCACCCCTAATATTTAGGCTAGGCCGTTTAGAAATTGTGTCGTTATGTAATTTTAAAAATGTTATATGATGTTGTATTGAAAACTTTATAAAATTACTCCTTTTCCCCGAAGATCTAATGAATTATTCGCAACGTTTTTACTATCCGAAAAAAAAAATGTTTTCCTAGTGAATAAAAAAAAAAAATACGTCTTACTACATAATATAATATAGCTACACTCAAAATCGAAAATATTCATGGCATTAACAATGTTTTATATATTATTATCTCAATTTTTTTTATCTAATATAAAATTTTATTTGTGGATTTAAATACCGTTCACTGAATATTACTATCTGAATTTATATAATACCGTATTGGTACATATATCGTATAACATCGGGAATATTTTTCCCAATGTATATCAGCGGCGTATTGGTAATAGCTTTGAGAAGCAGAGGCTCTGTCGAAATTTTCTGGATTCCCGACAGATTTCTCAAACAATTTAAAAGAATTGACAATAACGTTATGTTCACACAATATCTCAAAAGATGTGAAATTTCTGCCCGGTAGTATTTTATTTGAAACATTTATCGATGTTTTCAGCATTGATTTAGAGCTGCATACTGTATACAACCTAAATTACTCTGTAAATCCTATGGGTTTGGTCCTGCAACAGTTGCCTGCCCGTGAGCATAGTATTAATATATTAATAATCTTTTATAACCCCCCCCCCTCCCGAAAATAAATTCCGGTTGTGCCCCTGAGTGTAATAATAATACTTAAAAAATAATCAATTATTATATGTAATTAGAAAGTATAAAATGATAAAGACAATTTTATCACGCCTTAATATACACGGATTTTGGTAGGTTTTGTTAAGTATATTCGAATAAAATCAGTGGGGTTAGTGGTATTTACAATTCTCCGCACCTCGGGTACACATAGTTCAACACGCCACTGACTTGTATGTACTTAAAATACATCACTAGAAGTATAGTACCAATTATAATTTCCTAGCTGACGACTTACCATTACGCTGATGAATAACACTAACGACGTGCATCAATGTAAAACTCAAAAATTCTGTTCACTCTGTTCCTCAATTAGCTAAATTATTTAATTCGGGTCGGTCGTAAATTTTAAATCGTTTTCAATTCGAGTACAATACTCGGCTGCAGCTGCTGCAGCCTACGTAATCATCATACAACCCAAATTACATTCGCCGAAATGTTACGCGTGTCACACGTGTTCATTGCCGTATTGGTACCTAATAAACGACGTCACCGTTTTTCGAATCTATACGTATAGGAATATCATAGGGCCAATAAAATAATTTACCAGGCTGCGGGTCGTTAACGGGTTTAAAAAGTTAAAAGCTAAGTGTATAATTTTAGTTTTTAACCTTTGATAACTGTTTTTTTTTTTTTTACATACGCTAATTTATACTTAATAAATAACGACGTAATTTTGATTTATACCACTTTGAGTCAATAATGTAAGAAACTTGACATTTTGTGCAATTTTTAAATTTTGTTTTTTTAAATTAATTATTATGTAAGCTGAATTTGAGAAAACGTTCTTTATCCGCTTCTGGGTTATGGAGTCTAACTGGATATACACTGATAAAAGTCGGTTGAGATACAATCATTGTGCCTTCATGTATATTTTGAATGGAAACGATGATCGGATGAGTGATACAATAACCGCACCTAGTATGCCACCCGTTACCGTTTAATTATTGTACCGTCTGACAAAAGTAAAAAAAAAAAAAATATTTATAAAACTCATATTGTTTACTTATTTACATTTAAATATCATATAGGTATAGATATAGATATTATCCATATAGTGTATATGTTACGGTTAATGTCGTCATATACTCATAGTGCAACCGATTTTTTACTGTTATTAGAGTGTATTGACCTATTAAACTTAAATGTAAGAGAATTGTGTGTGTTGTAGGGTTTTGTTTTTTGAAACCAGATTCGATAGTATTTAAATTGTAATATTTCACATATTCGTAACTCGCTTGAAAATTAAAACGCCGAAAAAAAACCAGCGTACAAAACCAAACAATGTCATGTTACCTTTAAGTTTGATAATACACTTTGATATTATAACTAACAGCCAAAAAATCGGTTTTCATATACGAGTAAGTTTAACGAGTAACGACATTAACAGATTCTACGACATTAACCGTAATATATTATAGAGGCGTCATTTCAATATTTGCTAGGCTAGGGCATCAATCTTCTTGACTTGGCTTTACATAATTAAAACTTTAATGAACTTTACGCTGAAAAAGAAAAATATTGAAATATATATTTTGTCAATTCACATAAAGTCATAACACTTAAAATATATATTTAAAAAAAAAATTTTTTTTTTTGTACTCGTCTTATCGTAGATTACTGATCAATATGTTTGCCTTTTCATAATGATATGTGTGTTATATTACGGTCTGTAATGGCCCTAGATTCGATCCATGTTGGTAAAATATTGTACCTATGCCACCTGCGTCGTACAATTATGCCGTCTGAAAAATGTTAAAATAAGTACATAATTTGAAACGGCCAGAACAAACCCTGTATATTTAACATTGATCATTCTTATTTTCAAAAAGTTTTAAACTCTGGATAAAATACGTTCAGTAATTTTAGGTTAGCAATAATAATTGTAAAAAAAAAAAAAAAAAAATAATAAAAAAATACGATTTACTTAAATTAGGGCTGATCGATCGTAGTCAACTTTCAACTTAATCCGGTTAATTAATAAAACAATTATCTTTTCACGTCTATCAACTTGAAGCGACCCAACCTTGAAAATTGAACTACACGATAAAAAATCACGGTGTCTAATACTTTCTACCCCGCATCGGCCGTTCTCGTTTGAAAACGAGTTTAAAACAAAACTATACAGGGTAATTCAGATTTTATGATATAGTCAAATTCGCGATGAAATACTTATATATTTTAAAAAAATTAATTATGTAAAAGTTATTTGGAGTCATGTATTCTAAAATTTCAAATTGTCCTTATTTTCAGTGTTGAAACGACTACCGGCTTTTTATCTTCAAATGGGAACCTTCATTGAAAAATTCCATAAGCAGATGGAGTATTAGTTTCTCTGTACTGCTATTAATGGTTTCCGTCAACCTGTTGATGAAAAATTCCGCTTTTAAGTTTATGCAGAGGTAGTGTAGTAGAGTAGATACTATTCAAATGCCGTACGCCGTGCCGCCATTAGCGCCACTCAAATGATGTTCAACTGTTTTATTTCCTATTAAAAATTAAAAGTTGGATACCTCGTCAACGGGTTACCGTTAAAACAAACGTTTTAACACCGAAATTGCATTTAAATTAATACTGCATACGTCAAAAGTAAGAAGTCGTTTTATAAAATAATGACTATGTAAATTTTTAGAAAATATGATTCCAAAAAGTTTTTGCATAAGTATAA